GAAACAAGAACCCATCATCCAACAAATATGCAGAATAAAGTGGAGATGAATTGGATTGAGCATACACTGAGGTGATCGTTTGGGGACATCATACACCAGGCCAGACTGTCGAGTGGAACCTGCATGGGAGACGACGAGTTGGGTGTACGAGGTGATGGTGATATAGAGTGGATCATGTGAGGAAGAAATGAAAGCTTTTGGGCAGTTGTGGAGTGAGGTGATGAAGACTGCAGAGAAGAGAGTGAAATGGTGACGTGCTACTGAAGCCCTATGTTCCACTAGGAACCTAAGGGACATATAATAATAATAACATGTGGAGAACCATATAAATCTGGGAGCACCAGAGAGATGTTTCGCATAGGTTTAAGACTCCTCAGAAGTCGGAGTGAGTATTTCTGAAGGTTAGAATGCACAGTAAGAAACACTAAAATAACTGAAAGCAGAAATGATTGACGGAATTCTTGAAATAAAAATTATATTATTCTCACTGTTTATGTTTCAGTAAGTAACCTCTTTACAGGTGATCATAGTAACTGCAATACTGTTGAGGAAATATTATTACTAGAAAATCTAAACCCTGTCAACTAATAATGCATTAGCCTACTGCAGAAAAGTTAATTTACTCGAATTTTCTTCTGAATATTGTTGCATAGAGTTGGACAAGTTTTGTAAAGATAAAACTCATAGATGACCAAAACTTGCTCAAAGTGAACTGTCAACTTGATAAACAATACTATTTCGTCTCAACTGATCTAATGCTTTTTAAACTGTATGTATACGTACATAAACTGTACTCAAACAGAGTAAAGTTCAATCCAGTTCGCCTTCTTCTGACAGTTGGATTGTAGTATACTAGATACAACTCCGGTCTGAAAGTACTGTGGTCATTTCAACTGTAAACGAATGCTTACACCAAGAAACGGAACTAATTGAAGGGTATTAATGATTTTTACATACTATAAATAATTTTAAAATGAAAAGTTTACACAATGAAGAGTTGTAACTTTCGTAATATTTAGACTAGAATCACGTCAACATTTGGTATTTTTATTCCCGGTAAAAATTTTTAAGATTGTTGAACAGCAAAGTTTTAATACTTAGGACATATTTTCTGCATAACTTTGCCAAATTGTTTTACTTGGATGTACCAGACACCTGGATTGCTGTCAGCCAATTTTCAATTTACACAAGTAAATCTATCTTGGCATATTTCATTATGTTAACTGGTAGAAGAAATAGCAACATATAGTGTAAAAATGGTAAGAAGATTACAAATACCAGGGATGATTTAATATATTATCTGTTATGAGTTCATTTTTGTAAAGAAGATTTTTGAGAATTATGATTAAGTGACAATTTTCAATGAAAACGGACTCCTGTTTCCCTGTATTCTGGAACAATTCTGAGTAAGTTTGTCAGCTACGTATTCAGTCAAATAAAATAATAATTTGATATTTCATGCAAATCTGCTTACATAACTTAAATCGCACCCTAACATTCCTTCCCACTCTTGGTCCCTTTATTCATCAGCGGTAATACAGGTATCTAGACTTCAAACATCCCATCCAGTGTCAGTTAAGGCAGGATTAGTCAAATATCTAAATGATAGAGCTAGAAAACTGACTAGTCAGAGCAAGAACCTAAACAAGGAATTGAAACACGTAAAAGAAGCGCTAATAGTTAACAGTTATCCTTCGCAGTCTATTAAGAAATTCTTACAAACACACAAAAAACGTAAAAATAACAGTCACACGAGTGCGACTAATAATGACAACATGAGTAAAAAGGAATTCACAGCCTCCATTGTATTACCCTATAAGGAGGGTACCTCAGAAACTTTATGTAGAATCCTCAACAAAGCTGGAATTAGGGTTGCATTTAAACCTACAAACTCACTCAGAGATAAACTTTGTAGGCTCAAGGATCCAACAGAACCAATTAGGCAAAATAATCTAACCTGTCAAATACCATGTAATGACTATGAGATCAAGTATATGGGTCAAACTAGTCGGTCGGGGTCAGTTAGAATAGCCGAACATAAGGATTTAGCTAAATATAGAATAATAGACCTAAATAAGATCAATAATCTAGAGAAAAACTCGGCTATTGCTATGCCTGCTTTAACACACAACCACACTAGGGTAGGATAAAGCCACTATACTTAAGTCCAATATAACTGGGTGGAGAGAGAGATTGATTACTGAATCTTTGTTCATCGAACCAACACTCAACACATGTAATAGGAATGACGCAATACCTATACCAGAGATATGGAAAATTTTGCTACCAATAAAAACAACTCATATAAAGTGACATAACTATAAGAAACAAATGTCGGGAGTAGTGTGATTACATTGATATGATTATGAGCAATAATTTATGGTCGAGAAGTCATTAAGTAAATAATACTAGATCACTGTGTGTTATAAATCAAATAAACAAATCCAATATGGAATTAAAATCTACCACAGTACCCAAGTTTTACACATATATTAGGAATACATCTGACCTAACGTGAATCTGACGATGGCATCTAAGACGATACATTGGCATTCATAGTTATCTAGATTACAGTTAACAAGAATAAATGGGAAAAACGAAGTTAGGAAGTTATTTCACTCATTATTTACAACAGTTTTCTTGATGTAGTTCTACCAGTTGCATTTTTCAAGACGATATATTTTAAAGTAATTATTATATTATTAGTTCCTTGGGTTCCAAATGGAACATTGGGGCTTCAGTAGCACGTCTCCAGTGCACTCTCTCCTCTGAAATCTTTTCAACCTGGTTCCACGACAGCCCACAAGCTCTCATTTCCTCCTCGCACGATCTCCTCCATGTCACCCTCACCTCAAACGCCCAACTCGTCGCTTCCCATCGAGGTTCCACTCGAGGAACTGGCCTGGCGCGTGATGTCCCCAGTCAGCCTTCTCAGTGTATCCCTAATCCATCTCCACTTCCTTCTGCATATTTGTTGAGCGATAGCTTCTTGGTTGGTTCGTTCCCAGAGCTCCTTGTTGCTTATTCTTTCCAGCCATCTGATCTTCAGTAGCGAGCCAGCGTAGGCAGTTGTTGGTGAATGTCTGTAGTTTATTGGAAATCCCTTTCGTAACGCACCAAGTCTCTCAGCCATACAAAAGCACTGATTTCACGTTGCTGTTGAAAATCCGCATCTTGTTCTACATGCTGAGTGCAGAAGATCTCAACACTGGTTTCAGGCAAATAAACGCCTGTCTTCCTGTCTTTCCGATCCTGACTTTGACATCCTCGTCAGTGCCGCCTGCAGTTGAAACAGTGCTTCCTTAATAGGTGAAAGAGGCTACTTCCCTTAAGTTTCTCCCGTTCATGGTGATTGCAGTTTGTTGTTGTTGTTGTTGGAGTTGTTGGTGCGGTATCTTCATCACCTCACTCTCCTCTATATTCACTTGAAGTCCCGTCTTCACTGCCCTGCCTCACCTATTCTGTCAACTTGTTAGTTTTCGCCTGTAGATATTCAAGTTTGTGCGACATCAGACACAAGTCATCGGCGAAATCCAAATCTTCTACGCTCTTCTCATTGACCCAGCCAGCGTATCTCCCTCTTCTCGCTCCTCACTGTTTGCTGCATGATCCAGTCCGGTCGACCACAATCAAGAATATCATGGGTGATAGTAGACAGCCTTGTTTCACAGCCTCCTGTCTTTACTTGAAAAGCATCACTGAGCTTCCCATTGTGAATTACTTACCTGGCATGTGGAGTCTTCATATACTTGTTGAATGAGGTTGACAAAGGTTTGCGGCACTAAAACCGTAGTGTTGAAGCAACTGCCTGTCAAATTACTTGTTGGTCGACACTGTCAAATGCCTTCTCAAAGTCGATGAAGTTGAGGTAAGGTGTAGAGTTGACTGCCATTCTATACTCTGTTCTATGATGATGCGTGGTGCAGCGTTGCAATTTGGTCGGCACGTGATTTGCACTTCCTGAGTCCAGCCGGCCTGTTCCGGTCGTAGTTTTGAATCCAGCGCATCCTTCAGTCTCTCCGAGATGATGCGGCTCAATATTTTGCTTGCTGTGGGTGAGCAGGAGTGTGATTCCGCGCCAGTTCTTGCGAACACTGAGGTCTCCCTTCTTCGGCAGTTTGACAAGGTAACCCTTCTTCCAGTCAACCGGCAGGTACCTTCTCTTCCTTCCACACCTTCTGCAATAGTGGTGTGGTGTGAGCATGTCCACTGTTGTCTCTGCGTCTGTTTTCAGTGCTTCTGATGGGATTCCATTTGGTCCTGCTGCTTCCCCACATTTCAGCGACTTTATGGCGCTCAGGACTTCCACTTTTGTTGGAGGATTTATGTTCACTTGTAGTTCTGTGGCTGGGCTGCAGGTGGTATTTCTGGATAAAGTGCAGTTGGTGGTCGATTCAAGAGCTTCTTGAAGTGGTCAGCCCATTGTTTCCTCTGTTTCTCTTCTTTCGTAATTAAATTTCCTTCATCATCATGTTTCATTGGTTTCGTCTGCGTTGATCTCTTCCTACATAGCAACCTGGTTATTTCATACAATGCTGTCAGGTCTCTTTTACCTGCAGCCTGTTCTGCTTCACTTGCCAATGTGTCATAGAAGTGTCTTTTGTCTTTCAGTGCACTCTTCTCCACTTCTTTTTCCAAATTAATACATGAATATACGTTGGTCTCACAAAGGTCAGTCGCGGATTCACCAGCGATAAGAACTGAAATTAAATTCTAATCTGTTTTTTTGTATAACTTTGTATACTTGAATGAATGCATATTTTGCCGAAGATGGGAATTATCAAAACCACCAGAAAAGTCTTCGTATTTACATGAGTGATTAGCATCAAGTGATCTGCATCATTCCACACTGATAAACGCAAATCATTGTCACATAAACTATACCAAATCTTGTATGTTAACAATTTTAAATATGTGAATACATAAGCTTCGGTAGGAGCAACACCCTGAAAATGGCTTCGAATTAAATAAAACATTTTAATGAGATTTCAAATGAACGGATGAATGCCTCTTACACTAAAATTCAAGTCAAGGCCACATTGGATAAACTCATACTAACCGAATTAGAATCGAGTAAGGAAGAGGATGAGAGAGCGAACCAATCAGATTGTAAATAAATTCATGCAGTTAACTATATAACCACTGAGACAAGATTTTTACCTGTTAGCAACCTTCTTAAAGATCATATCACAAAAGATAAGATTGTAAGTTCAGTTGACTAATTTTGTTTTACATTTCTAAAGTCAACTTTTTCATCAATATGGCAATAATCGTTTTGTCGTTCTATTTTTATCAGCGTTGGATTACAGTTGTCTTTTGTAACTATATTTTTAGTAAAACTGTTTATAAAACACCTAACTAAGCTATGTCAGGGATAAAGAGTGTATTTTCTCAAACGTACTCTGCAATCACGAAATGCATGATTCGCAGCTGGACATTTCGATGTTTGTCAGCTAGAACTATGAATGAGAAAATAGAATAATTTCGAATACAATCATTTATTTGAAAGAAAATGAAACGTGACTTTAAGCCTAAAATAATACTGTATTTAGATCATTTTTAAGAATATGCTTAATGTAGTACAGGAGGCAGTAGAGTTTTGTATCACGTGCTCATACATTTTGTAACCCGAGCAACTACTGTGGCTAATAATTTCCCAGAATAAGTGCTGAAAAGAGAAAAAACAATGTAATTTTCTCTTCTCGTTTCTTCTTTGCATGACCGTTGGTCGTGTATGTGTGCAGTGCTTTTATTAGGCAAGGAAGTGAAAGACGTTACTTTAGGAGCACTTTGGTAATATGATGATGTATAATTCCATGTTAGTTAACTTTCATAATACATAAAGGAGTATGAAACGGCACCATAAATGAGAAAAAGTTTCAAGCACTATTTACCATTCGTAGTCATATTATATGATTACGAATAGGAATGCTATCATTCTGAGGGATAATTCCATTCTCACAAAATAGGGTACTCAGTGTACTGTTAGATTTTCAGAGGAGACAGACATATCTGCATTTGTAGGTTTGTCTCACCATAACCCACATTGATTTTCAGACTTTCTGGCCTCAGTGACAATATCCCTGGCTTTGGCACTAGGTAGCACAAGTGTGAATCTCACAAAAGACATCAGTTTTCTCGAGGTTACTAATGGCTGTCAACAAGCATAGAATCTTGCGCTCACAGCTTATTAACACTGTCTCCAGTTAACTACTACCTATCATAGATTAAGGTTGCTTTAGAGTCAAAATTTTGGTCAAGTCGAACCCTCAACTGTAGTAAGTGAACCAAACATTATCGACAAGTTACGTACCGAGTTTATCTGCTGATCAATGGATTAGTTAACAAAAACTTACCTCTGATATATCTGTTATGATATGGAAAAGCAGTTTATTGAGTTTTTGATCGTAGAGACGTTATTTCAACGAGGTTTAAGCTATTAGCTGATAAGCCTAAACTAGTCGCACCGTTTGAGTAAAGTTGTACATAACATCCAGACTACTAATCTCCACCTTAAACGAAATACTCAGTGATCATCTGTGAAGAGTTTGTTGATTGTAAAGTGGATCAATTTACGTAAAATACATTTAGAATAAATGTTTGGATACAGTGATCAACTTTTTAAGTTTTTATACTGGGTGATGACTGAAGGTGGGATGAAAATCTGGACCACGGTCGGACTCGAACATGCCACCACCGGATTTAAGTTTGTTGTACGAACTTTTAAATTTCCAGCATATTCATCTTCATTTCATGCATCATAAAAAGAAATGAAAACTCTCTGTGATACTTATTAACTTGAGGAAAAAATCAAGGGTTTTTAGAACTATCAGAAACTTTTTAACTCCTGAGTATCAAAATGTCTACCTTTTCAAGTGAGACGATGTCACGAATTTACAAATAATTCAATTTTCATTGAGAAAACCACAAATTATGTACAAAAACTCCTGGACTTGGAGAACTGATTTATGTCTAATTAACAGTTTTTAATTCATCAAGAACATTTATTAATTGCGGTAAAGTCATATCCTTGCTAGGGTCCATATTAAAAAACATAATTTGGGCTCTCAATGTCCAATTAATTAGATATTAATAAGACTGAATATTGCATCTGTTTATTTGAATACTGATATGAGAGAAAAATCTTTCTAATCTAATTCCCAGGTAAGAATTTCAGTGAACTTTTTGATACCACTCCATTTTACTTCGTAATGTTTGGTATAAATTTATTCAACATAGATGGCTTTTATAACTATAGTCATGATGCTTGTGTGTGCTGACTTAGCTAGCAGAAATCAGCTTCAAGAGTTCAACTTTTGTCAGTTCACAATTTAGCGTATGAAAAAAATTTCACGTTCCATGAATCATTTTTAGAAGTTATACATCCCTATTTATAGTTACAATGGGAATACATATCTGTCAGTACCTGATGGATCAACACAAGGTCATCAAAAATCGTTCCTAGATTACAACACACAGTCAGTTTGAAATCCTAGAAACAATCCTTAATGATCTTATGTTGACCTTCTTACCATGATTATCTTGTTACTTACTATATAGACAATTTCTTGAGGACTTTGGTCTGACTAATTAACCCATAACGGGCATATATTACGTTAGCAATAAATAAGTATGTGCAGATTTTGAAAATGTTTTGTGAAATAGTTTCTTACACTGAATTGCCTTTTGTTACTTTTTCAAGATCCAATGAGACTATTTCAAAAGCTATGAAATAAAAAAATTCACAACTTACTAAAACGTTTTGTTTCGTTTGATGTGGTCACTACGCAATGATTCAAAGAAAAAATATTAAAGTTTTAAATGACTTGTTTTCCTGGTTCTATTGTGGTACCACACAGTTATTAGGATCAATAAAAGCCAACTCTAGTTTCCAGAGTAGTATTCATCATGGGTTGACGTTAGCTGGGGAACCAGTGAAAACCTGGAAAAACTGGACACCTGTTTTTTATTATTATGAGACTGTTCAGCAGCACGCACTGAATTACTGTCCACTTCGGATAAGTGACAAGCTTCGAGATGGGTTTTCCGAAGTTCCAGTGCATAGCTGTTACCTATCATATCAAACAAGTTGGATGTATGGACAAATACTGGCCAAATCCATAGAATGATAACCGCACTTTATAGCCGCTTGACAGAAAACAGAAAGTGTGGACGGTTGGAATTCGACCCGAGGGTGAACAATAACATGATCTCTGTGAGGTCTGACGGTTCTAGGTTGGATCTTCAATGAGCTCATGAGTGCACATTGCTGACTTATTCCATACTCGAATAAAACGGATATCCACTGCTGCCAGTTTTTTTGATAGTTTTCCCATTAATGGTACTCGAAAGGCAAACTTCGAGTAAGAATAATACAAATAAAGTCACTAGGTGTGCACGATATACCTGTGAACTATTCCTTCCTAATTTAAGCATTGTTTCTATCACTGAATGTCATCAATACTAATGAATTCATATAACCTTTTTATCAGTAAGTTGATTAGTTAGTTAGTTAGTTAGTTAGTTAGTTAAACCATTAGTAATTAGGTATGCATTGTATGCAGAAAATTTCTTAACCACAAATCAGATTTTTGTCACTCTAAAATCTCATCTTATAACTAGAGAAATCTTACCAAGAATTGTGATCAGACATAGGGGCCAGGTTTACAAAAATGTTTATAATATGATGATTTGTATATGCCTTGCAGATCCCAAAATACTTTTTGAGAAGTGAGAAAGAATAGCAACATGCTGAAAAAATGTTTCATTTTTACGCCTTGTACACAAAACTGTGTCACTACAGTATACAAGTGATGCCAGGAGACTAAAACGTTATACGAAATATACAGTTTGTATGGAAATAACCTTTAGTGGATTTCGAGTATTTGATGATGATTACCCTTGAGATATTAATTTTGATTGACTACTTGTTTTAATATTGTTAAATCTTTCTTCCCTTTACAGAGCTGTTGGTTTTTATTGCATGATGAAACTGCAAATCTTCATTGCACTCATTTGTTTGCTTACCATGCAGATAATTTATTCACGAACACTCAGTGATGATGAATCATCAATTTATGATACAGCTGCTGTTTATGAACCATATCCAGCGAGGAAACAATTCACTGACAGGATACACCATCGTGGATTCAACAAACATATATTTAAAAGAGGTCCAGAAACACTTTGGGAACTGGATTGATCCGACACACTAAAATGAACAAGTGAACTTGTGTTTATGATTTTGGTTTCATGTAATATGTTGTGATCCCATAATTTGTTACACGATATCATTTGGTGTATCGTATGAGAATAATGTATAAATTTTAAATACATACGTAACAGTCAGAGACAATTCTGTCTACTTTTTCTTCGATATCGTGCGATAAGAATTATTAAACTATGAATCATCAACATGTTTCTGTTGCAGGAATGCGGTTAATCCAGAGTCTTAAATATTTCACATTAGCCGCTGACAAATAAGAAAAAGCGGCCACATTAGTGAGAAAACAATTTTAATCAACCTTTGATTTTCCAGTTTGTCCTAAGCTGAACATTATGACTCATATATCATGAAACTCCAGGGGTAACTTCAGAACCTTTCCCATCAAAATTGTGTACCACTACTTAGCCCATAAATAAACAGAAATTGAAGCGTAAAATAAAAGTTGTATTTCCAGGACATCAATAATACCTTTGGCAATGTTTTTTGCAAGTTATCTTAATGAAATTTCGAACTATAAGACAATGTCAATTTCGTTAATCACCGATCAAGATTATGTAATAATCATTCAGAAAGTATTCGAACTTAAAATTTAAGGCTCTTTTGGGGCATTCTTGATCCAAACTGAGCGATATTTGCATGTATTTTATCGTTTGTATCAGAATGCTACTACTTCTACTAGTCTACTTAAGGGATTTTAACTTACAAATTAATATCAATTTTATATGAGCATTGCTTACTTGAAAACCGAATGATTTCACTTAACAAACCGGTTGATAACTTTCTGCAGTAATACTCTAAGAAGATACTTATCTATGCGCATAATTCCAGAAATTTCCTTACGTTCAAGACCCTGCAAACCAAAATTCAGGCTATATATAATGACTAAAAATAATGAAGATATAGAGTTTGTATTTTTGTAACCATGTGAATTATAACATGCCCTCAGATACTTAAAACAAGTCGAGTCTTTTATCCTTTACATATTTGGAAATCGCGGGGAATAACCTTTTAAACTTACAATAAACGATAATATCATCTTAAGCATCATTCTCTTCAAAGCCAGGAGTTGTCAGAATGATATTGTAAATTAATCTTTCTCATTCTTTTCTGACCAGCAACTTTGAAGTCCAAATGAGAAAAGTAGTTCCTTAAATCTTTGCAGTGATGGCTTCGCTAGCCACATAAAACCTCTCTGTTACTGTTGCTACAACTGATGACGACTGTATTACCATAAAAAAAACTCATTCAGCCACCTCAGTACTTCTCAAAATTGTTTTTCGGAATTTTATTATATCACTTCGGTAATCTGTCTAGATAAGATGATACGGTTACACATGTTGGTAGTTCCTGTGAATGATGACTTTTTACTGAACCTAAAAATTAAAGAAACTCCCACAATCCATAAATCCTCATTATGAACCTTGACAGTATAAGGTCAATGTCAAATATATATGTATATATATAACTTGTAATTTTTTATCGCTTTCGGAAATTAGTTATTACAATGACATCAATATTAAAAAAATTATTTACAGGTAGTATTCATCATTGATTGACACCACCTAGGGAGACACTGAAAACCTGGTAGCACTGGACAGCTTGTTCGTCCCAGTATGGGACTCCTCAGCACTAAGCACCCACTATTCAGCTAAGGATCGAACTAAGGACCTTCAGGTTCTACGATGAATGCGCTAACCATTCAGCTACTGGGTCGGCTTTCAGTGATTCACAGTTTTCAGCTTCTGTCGATTCGCGATAGGGCATGACTATCCTCAGTGTAATGCTAAAGAGTCCTATGCTAGGAAGGAACAGCTGTCCAGTGCTACCAGGTTTTCAATGGTTCCCGAACTTATACTAGTCCATGGTGAATCCCGGCTCATCTCAAAAAGAACTATTGATTGATTACTTTCAGAAATTCATTCTACAAGTAAATTATTATTACAACTAATACATATGCGTTATTATCGAACTCTTCTCGGTAACTAAGTCCTCGAAAGCATTTTTTGAGACCAAACAATAAGCCAGCCGTTTTCCGCTTCCACTTATTTGAAATAAGTAGCTTTGGTTTTCAATGAGAAATGTTTTCACAAAGACTTTATAGTGCCTTGTTATTTTTCTTATTTGTGAAACTACAAGGAAACTGACGCTGAGACTAAGATTGCAAGCCTATCTTGGAGAAATTCAAGCTCGCATAGCAACACAACTGGAGAAATACATATTTCTTTGTGCAGATGGAATATCAAACTCCGTGAGTATTAGTCTTAAAATTAGTGTTCATGCAACAAACTATGAGCAAAAGACTCTAAAATATTCGAAGCGTTTACTACGAGTAAAGAATCTGCATGCAACTTGTATGCAGCTAAAATTTCATACCATATCTTTCACGATACACGAAGATAGACTTCAGTCAAAGTGAAATTTGAGTCTATGTAAAATCTTGTTTTGTTAGATCTCACAGTGATGATACACCTAGGTAAGTGGAGGCAGAAATACAAATACACCTTCCTCATAAGACTCACACAGGTTCTCATGATGAGTTTATGGGTTAGAAGTCAATACATATTAAAAGTGACGTCGAAAGAATTATTTTTATTAGTGACTTTCATTTTGAATTCATATTGTTCCTTCTACTGTATAATGCACAATAAAAACCACAGATATGAACTGAAATAAGCCACAGAAATAGACACATAACTGCACCTTAACATAGGAATATCAGTTCTGAATAGCAAAAGGTTTCATTTTTCGCTGTCCTGCACCTGTACCTGAAAGGTACATGCGAAACACACAGTACTTCATAGGTTATGTAATTTCATGATGTATGCTACAAAATTCAAGTGTTTTTATCTGTGGTTATTACACAAAATGTCGAAAGGTATAAAATGTTATTTTCCACTGTCTTTTCACTGTTTCCAATCGGTTCTAGGAAACTTTTATGCATATAAGAGTGTAGGAAAATATATAAATACAAGTCCACTCTCCGAATATATTGTAGCTTATATCAACCGGCATATATAACTTTATATGGTAGTTTAACTGATGTGTCCAGTTTGATGATAGTTTTAGTTAAACAACTCAACTTGCTTAAAAGCAAATGTAACCAAAGAGAAAGGTGAGGACAGAATGTTATTTGCTGTGATGTCAAAATTTTGGTGCTTCTTTTCAAAGGAAGGAGGCCTGTGCTATGTAAACAAACACCATGGGAACTCGATTCAAAACCAGTTTTGTGAGTTCTAGGAATGTAAGCATAAATAGTAAATAAATCTTTGGATTGTTAAGTGGATCTTCATCTTCAAAATCAAATTTGAAATTTTATAAATTTTAAGACCACAAAAGATCAAATCAGATTGCAATAAAACGAAAATTATTTTTCCCCTTGCTACTGAGCTCAAGTTTAGAAGACGAGATAAGTATTTTTGAGGTGGGAGCTCACCAAAAGGTAGATACAAATGTTAGTAGCAGCATAACTATTGCCTACCTCCAATGAAGTTGAATAACCTTCAGATTGACTGATATTTTCGATAGTTTTCTCAACAAAGACTGACAGATTATGAATCAAAGAAGGCACCATTTATTGAACACAATCAGACAGTGTGTATTGTTTCAACTCTCATCATCTAAATATGCAAACTTCAAAACATACGGGCATTATTTTGATGCAATTGAGTTCAGTATAAAGAATGTGTTCGTTTATCTATGGTCAAAAATTCTGGTGATAACAATCAGATTTCATTTATACTTCTATTTAGGGAAACCAACCTACTTGTTACTCTATATTCCAGGTGTACTTCTCAAACGACTAGATTTTATCTTTTTATATGTCAAAATAGCCACTGTAAAAGTTAAAACTATATATATATATGTATAAAACTATATATATATATATATATATATATATATATATATATATAATACATTATATATATATATATATATATATATATATATGCAAACTATCATTTTCACTCAGATTCTGCTGAAGCAACATGGTTCAAAATAAAAGCAGTTACGGATAATCGTCAATCGTAGATAATCCTCAGTAATAAGAAACAGTTAACATCAGGATATAGATTTGGTTACATTTTGTAGATCTTTGTTACTCAGTAAGCTAGATAAAAGCGTAACTGATAATTGTCAAAGCTATGAAAATTTGAATTAAGAACTTTACTGTCAGTGTATCCATCACTTATTTCCCTTCGATCATGAAAGAAAACGTAATAAATGACCATATCCCATGACTCTTTTCATATTTGTCTTAACTCTTTATATTTACCTGTTCCCTCTTATAGATAAACGTTGGAAAGTAATTTTTGGAATTTCGCAACGTTTTAGTATTTATCCTACTTTTATTACTACAGAATGATAGGACATCCTTTTCGGTTCACTCTTTCAAATATAATTGTAGGGTCATATGTACTAAAGGTAGGCTTCAACAATAGATGGAATCAAAAGCTTTGATTCCAAATAACAAACTAAAACCGAAACTTCTACAGAGAATGAAGATTTTGGCAAACCCCGCTTCATCACACTGAACAAACCACTTAATTTATCGTAATGGTATACACCACAACTTGAATTAATTCAATACATGTCGTCTAGTTACAATGACTTTTGAAAACTATTAGAAACATTTTGACCTAGATAAGTTCATCAAACAGTCGTTTCAATTAAGGACATAATATTCCCTCCACAACACTTAATTTATTTGTAATTTCTACAGTAACGCCATGAAATTCCCTAAAGTAAAATCGAAAAATATATTAAACGCTGAAAAACCTATTCGTCTGTTTTAATGCATAATCACGTATGTGTAAAACCTCACTATAATGTAACATATAGAAAGAGAAATGCATAATTGCATGAAATCGGTTTCATCCTGACAACTCAGCTTCCTAGGTCGTTAGTTTTTAGTTCATCCAGTACCGTTTAGGCAAGTACAGGAATACTTTATAACTCAACTGTTGCCAGAAAATTAATCACACTCCCAAACAAAGGTAACTTATACTTTATAGTAAGCTCCTGTTGATTTAATGAAGTTGCGTAATAAAAATAAGCACATAATAAAGAGTACCAAAGTGAGGCACATACTTTACACGTTTCTACTCACATTCACACCATTTAGGGATGAA